CTTTCGTGGACTACAGTCCACGAAAGCTTATGCTCTAATAAATTTGTTAGTCTCTAAGGTGCCACAAGTACTCCTGTTCTTCTTTTTGCGGATACAGACTAACACGGCTGCTACTCTGAAACTTGGGATCTTAACTATTTCTGGCCATATGATGTGTGGCAGAATCACCATCTACATGGACCATGGTAACCTGATATGGCTCATATACAGGCCGTCACTATAAGGTACGTTGCCACAGTTCCTCACACCTGGATAGACACCAAAGCGAATCCCATGCAGCCTCCTTGAGATCTTCCAGGTTCCACTGGGGCATACTTTTTTGACCTAAGGTATCAGGTCACAAACTGATATCAGGCTGTTGTGACCACCCTGTCCTTCTCGTATTGTTAAATGGGAGAAGGTCCTGAATAGATCCTAATAAATAACAATGAGGTCCTGGGAGGGGATCCTTGAATAGAATTGTTGACAACAACCACTCTGTTGCGGGAGGGGGTGTAGAAGGATTAGGTAGATGCCTATACTTTTTTGTATGAGGGAAATAAATATATCTCATAATTCCCTGTGATTCTCATGGACATGGAATCTTTGTTCTGAAATATTTTGTATTTTAAAGAAGCTATTTCTTTATTGGATGAGTATATCAGGAGTATCATCAGAATTCCTGCTACATCAAGCACAAGTTTGATTTTTACAACCATAGGCCTGAATCTGCAAAGACTCACGCACATGCTAAACCTTATGCACTGTGCATTGACTCTCTGTGTAGGATCAGTCCATAGAGAATACAAGAAAAGGAATAGTCCCATCATCAGCTCTTTTCTGTTCTCTTATGTGCAGCCTTCACATGGTGACAAAACTTCCAATCCTGAAGTCCTGAAATGGATGAATGACTTGGCTAAAGGTCGTAAACAGCTCAAAGGTACATAAAAGCATATAGTTTCATTTTATTGCACAGTGGGCAATTTCATAATACTGGAAACTTTGTAAAGCAGTGCTAATGCAGTAGGAGCATTTTAGTATTTGTTTTCTCCTCTTTGCCCCCTATTTCTATTTCACTAAGTCTCCCTAAGGACAAAAAGAAAGATGAAATGGCATGTGCAGCGCCAGTCTCTCCCCGCCATGTTTGGGGAGAGTCAGTTCAACCCTATTCAATAGAGCTGAAAAAGAGAGAACTTATTCGTAACTATCAACATTCTTGAAAACAGAGATGCAATTTTAAATATTAGCCTCAATGTTTGTCTGATGTTTCAGCTTCATTAGCATTAGCATACTGTACATAATTGCCAAGTTAATGGGTTTGTTATACTGATACCATTCACATTGTAGTTGTAAAGGGGGTTTGTTGAATTTACATTACAAAACTCCATTTTAAACCACCTATTATTTGGTCATAAAAATAGCTTCTTGCCTGAAATTAGATTTAATACCAAAGGTCAATTTTTTCCCTTGACAGCCTGTATGTGGCTCCATTGACCAGAGTGGAGAGCAAGATATGCATATCCAAGGGGAAAATGTAGCCACTATTGATTTTTTAAAATAAAAATAAAACACAAGCTATTTTTAAAGTAATAAAAGAATCATTTTTGGTTTAGATGCATTTTTCACCATTAAGTGAATCATAGTATTACACTTCAATACTGTAGAGTGGGATTTTGATAAGTGCTTAAAGCGTCTAGAAACTCAACTCCCATTGAAAGCCAGTGGGAGATGGGCACCAAACTCCGTGAACTCGTTTGAAAATCCCTCTCAAATATCAAGTGATTAGTCTGCATTGTCACAGGATGTTTTTAAAATAACCCTTTTTTTTAACTAAAGAAAAGCAAAATAGCTGTAAAAGGGCCAAACTACATGCGTAACTTTTTGTAAATTGTCACTTTGAATCGATTATATTTCAAAATGATAAAACCCAGTTCACATAAATTTTCATACACCTTAAAGGCCCTGATCCTGCAAACACTTGAGCACATGCTTAACTTTACTACCATGAGAAGTGCAATTGATTTCAGTGGGAGTACTCGCAGTAGTAAAGCTAAATACTTGTGTGAGTGTTTGCAGTATTGGGTGCTTTTACAAAGGAAGTAAGTAGCATTAATGCTATTTTAGAAGCAGGGAAACTAAGGCAGAAAGAGGTGAAGTGACTTGCCTAAGGTCAACCAGTAGACCAGTGGCAGATTCAGGAATAGAGTCCAAGCTCCGAAGGCTCAGGCCAGTGCCCTGTCCACAGTCCCTCACTTCTTCCCACATCCTCTGGTCTGCACAAGCAGGAACTATGGGTGTCTTTAAGCCACCTTTAGACTCAATCCTAGGCTGGCCAGGGTCCAAGCTGGTCCCTGTTGTAACATCATGTCACAATAATGTAATGGATACCTTGTCTGATGCTGGATGTCATTCTGGCAGTGGAGATCAGCCAGGCATAATGGCTGCCTGGCCTACGTCCTTGTCCATGGTCACACCTGCAATGTAAGGGGCTTGGATGGGTTGTGGTATGGGGTAGTGGCAGCTCTATCCCACCTGGCAACTTCTGCTGTTTATCCTGCACCTGATTCCTGCCTGTTTGAGTGAATGCTCTCAGATGAGGGGCAGGGGAATTAAAAACTCAAGTTAAGGATTATTAATTTCCCAAATGATTGTGGTATGTTAACAAACTAACACAAGGAACCAGGGTGTTTTTCTTATAGTGTCAGAAGAAACCTTTTGACAAATATTTATTAAAAACTCATTTGCCAAGTAGCTTGCTTTTTTGAACAGAGCTTAAACTCAAAATGTCAGAAGAGCAAAACTGTACCCCTAAAGCACCCAAAAGAATTGTGCAGCACGAGAGCACTGGAATATACAAGGAGACCAGGAAGCAAGAAGCAGCAAGTACTGAACCAAATCCATCCGTCGAAGAAACCATGGATACTGTAATGAAGCGATTAAAGGAGAAAAGACAACAGCTTAACCTCCCTGAGACTATAAAGGTATGTGTGTTTCTTGCAGAATAATCACAGCTGGGGAAGAAATTAAATATTGTTTTTAGCTGTCAGTACCCTACTCAGTGTATTCTGAACTGCCATGTTGCAATGGTATCCTACAGATCTTGCACCACAGGAGCATAACCCCGACAGCATATTTTTGCACTAACAAAATCACTGACCCTAGTACACTTTTTCTGGAGTGAGGATTCTAGGAAGAGTTACAAAGACAAAGCAGGGCTAGATTTACAAAGAAATGTAGTGTGGTGACGCTCAGCATTGCCATGCCTAACTTTTAGATGCCTAGAAAATTACTGACTGGGATTCACGAAGCCTGAGTTAGGTGCCTAGGCTTCCTATGCAATGAATGGGAGAGAGAGGCACCTCAAAGGGGATGTACATAAACCAGCATGCTAGGCTGCTCCCCACTTAAACTAGAAAATGGGAGATGCCAAGTCTGTGTGATAAACCCCACCCCTCTCACAGAGATAGGCACCTACATTGAGGCTGCAGGGAAGTGCCTCCCTCAGCTTGGGAATTCCCAGCTGAAAACTCTCTCTTGGTGTTAGGCACCTATGCTATTTTTTCAAGAAGTTGGAGGGAGGAGGAGGAGGAGGAGGATGACCAGGGGTACCATCTCCCTCATAACTCTTAGCCCAGTGGTTAGAGTGCTCATCTGGGATGTGGGAGACCCCCAATCTACCTGAGGGGAGAAGGGATATGAACTGGGATCTGCCACTTTTCTGGTGAGTGCTCTAACCACTGCACTATGGGATATTCTGAAATAAGGCACCCTCAGTCTCTCCTGTTGAAGCAGTTCCACGGTGGATAAATAATTTTAAAAAAAATCATTGGAGCAGGGGGACTGGATCCTGGGCTAGTTATGAGGGAGGAAGTCCTTCTCCTCTTCTCTAGGGTTGCTACCTCTGAAGTACAAAAAACTGGGACATCCGGGATGATCCTGAGCCCATAAAACTGGACAGATGGCAGAGTGTTGAGCACCCTTGCAGATTTCCCAGGATAGCTACCTCAAAAAAAATATGATCCTAGGAAAACCTGGACAAGTGGCTACCCTATCCTCCTCCTTCCTCCCTCCCTCTCCCCCCATTTTTGTGTAAGCTTGCCTATAGGGCCTGGTTTGGTAGGTGAGGTCTGAGCACACTTACTGGATCAAACCCTTCAGGCAAATTAGGCAGAGGAATTTGAATTACTCTGGGGCTTAGCCATCTGGACGCCTGACATGGAACTGCACTGAGCATGCTCAGAGGCAGAAACAAAGGTTCCTAGGGATCGTCGTCTGCAAAAATGTAGGTGCTGCTGAGCAGTTTTACATGCCTGCGGGGTTTGATGGAAGCTTTGAATCCTAGTGGGCCTGATTCTGGGATTTACATGCCTGAAGTGGCAGTTAGGCAACTAAGTTCTTTTGTGAATCTAGCCTGAAGTGCCCATTCTTTTCAGCAGGGTTTGCAGGTAGCACTGAGTGCACCGTGTTTGGAGGTGAACGTCAATGTCTGTATTAGAAAGGAATTGTAATAGCTTCGCTGTTTCAGATTACAGGTACATGAAAAGCATGTTTTCCAATCTATCAGAGCTGGTGATAGAGCACAAGCAATCATATCTCCAGTCCAGAGAGACTGTGTGACTACGAAGAATCACTAAGAGCTTGTTTACAAGGTGTGGTAAAGACCACTTCAGGGGGGTGATTTATAGAGTTCTAACATGCTGCGCTCTAATTGTCGCATGTTGACCCTGTTGGTGTGAACAAAGCACCTTTTAGTTCATGCTAGCAGGTTCTATTCAGAGCAGTTAGAGTGCAGCACGTTAGAATGCTCTTCAAATGACCCCACTAATATGCTTTGCTGTGCTGTGAAGACAAGCCTGAAGAGGTTCCAGTGTCTGTTCTGTGTCACACCCTGAGGCAGTGTCATTGAAAACCATGGGTTTTGGTGAGATACTGCGGTGTGCAGTTAGTATTTATAGTCTATGGTCTCTGCATCCTGTGGGACCCCTATGAGTTAAATAAAAGGACCATTGCAAAGCTAAAGAATTTTGTGCAACTTTTTAAAAAATGTCTTCTCCATTTTAAAATTCACTCCAATTTGGACACTTGATGAATCTTACTCTGTTGTTAAAACCCAGAAGAAATGCCACACTTATCAGCCCGTGATAAAGTATATACAGTAAAGTATATAATGATGCCACCACTTATCTGTAGGTGGCACATACAAGATATATACAGCTATATAATAATACCACATTTACCATCAGGTAAAGTGTACACACCAAAGGCCACTATTTCTAATTTTCATAGAGTCCAAGGCCAGAATCTGTATGACCTCTGGTATAACACAGGTCATGGAATATAATTATAATTATATAAATAATTCCAAGAACATACTGTTTAGAAGAACATCCAATATTGATTTTAAAATTGTCAGTGATGGAGATTTCACCACAATCCTTGGTAAATTGTTCTAGTGTTAAATATCCTCATTGTCAAAAATATACGCCTTATTTCCTGTCTGAATTTGTCAAGCTTCAGCTTCCAACAACGTTATACCTTTTGTCTGCTAGATTGACGAGCCCATTATTAAATGTTTGTTCCCCGTCTAGACTGTATTAAGTCACCTCTTTAACCTTCTCTTTGTTAAGCTAAATAGATTGAGCTCTTTGAATCTATCACTATAAGGCAGGTTTTCTAATCCTTTAATCATTCTCTCGGCTCTTCTCTGAACTCTCTCCAATTTATCAACCTTCTTCTTGAATAGTGGGCACCAGAACTGGACACAGTATTCCTGCAGCAATTGCAACAGTGCCAATACAGAGGTAAAATAACCTCTCTACTCCTATTTGAGATTTCCTTGTTTATGCATCCCTAGAATGCATCCCACTCATACTGGGAGTTCACATTCAGCTGATTATCCACCATGACCCCCAAATCTTTTTCAGGGTCATTGCTTTCCAGGATAGAGAAGCCTGTTCTGTAAGAAAGGCCTACATTCTTTGTTTCTAGTTGTATACATTTACATTTAGTTGTATTAAAAAGGTATATTGTTTGTTTGCACCAGGTTTACCAAGCCATCCAGATCGCTCTGAATCAGTGACCTGTCCTCTTCAGTATTTACCACTCCCCCAATTTTTGGTTCATCTGAAACTTTATCAGTGATGATTTTATTTTTTTCCAGGTCATTGATAAAAATGTTAAATAATATAGAGCCAAGAACTGATCCCTGTGGGACTCCACTGGAAACACACCTGCTCGATGACTATTCCCTGTTTATAGTTACTTTTTGAGTCCTAATAGTTAGCCAGATTTTACCCCTTTTAATGTGTGTGATGTTAATTTTATATTCTAGTTTTTTAATCAAAATGTAGTGTGTATCAAGTCAAACGCCTTACAGATCTCTAAATACACCGGACCCTCGCTAGAACGCGGGATTTAGGATCCATGCGTGGTACTGCGTTAAAATGAATTGCAATTAAAGTAATTAAATTTGGGATCCTTGGCCACGACCTCATTATATGCGAATTCATGCTATATAGACACGCGTTCTAGCAAGGGTCCGGTGTGTATTACATCAACACTATTACTTTTATCAGCCAAACTTGCAATCTCATCAAAAAAAGATATCAAGATAATTTGACAGGATCTAGTCTCCATAAAGCCATGTTGCTTTGCATCAATTGCATTACACTCCTTAAATTCTTTATTTATCAAGTCCTGTGTCAGCCATTTCATTATCTTGCCTAGGATCGATGTCAGGCTGACAGGATGATAATTACCAGGGTCATCCTGTTTATCCTTTTTAAAACTTGGCACATTAGCTTTCTTCCAGTCTCTGGAACTTCTCCAGTGCTCCGGGACTTATTGAAAATCAACATTAATGGTCCAGCGAGTTTCTCAGCCAGCTCTTTAAAAACTCTTGGTATCTGGACCTGCTTATTTAAAAATGTCCCACTTTAGTAGTTTCTATTTAACATCTTCCAGAAATACTAGTGGAATGGAAAGAGTGTTATCCCCATATGATGAGACTATATCATCTATTTTTCCTTCCAAATAAAGAACAGAAATATTTATTGAACACATGTGACTTTTCTGCATTATTATTGATAATTTTACCATTTCCATTGAGTAATGGATCAATATCATTCTCAGGACTCATTTTGTTCCTAATATATTTTTTTTAAAAGATTTCTAATTACCCTTAACTCTGCTGGCCATAGATTTCTCCTTGTGACCCTTTGCTTTCCTTATCAATTTTCTACAATTCCAAACTTCTGATTTATATTAATTCCTATGAATTTCCCCTTTCTTCCATTTGTTATATATTATTTTTTATTTTTATAGATACCTTCACTTCCCCTCTAAACCCAAGTTGTTGTTCTGCTTGCATGTTATAAATGTGATCAAGTCATGAGTACTTGTACCTAAGCTACTATTCAATTTTAGTTCTGTGATCAGTTCCTCTTTAAAGGTAAGGGGCCAAATTCTGCTCCCCGTTATATTTGAATAGCCCCATTGATTTTAAAGGGGCTTTATGGGGGTAACTGAGAGTGGAATCTGACTCAAGGAATTCTTTTTTTAGATTGTCTTTTTGCAAGTAGACTTCTTTATCCAGAGCTGTAAAATATTTGAGCAGAGCCAGATATATCAAAAAATAAGTGACTTACTAGCTCAGCAATTCAAACATGTCTACAATAAGCTGTTTTCTTGCTGTCTCCTGCACTTATTAAACCACTGAGCAAAAAACAAGTTACTCTTTTGTATTATTTGTAGTTCCCCATGACTAGGTCACATGGCCTCTAGTATGTGGCATTGTAGGCTAAAATCAATAGTATAATTAAAATTGGGCTTGAACTAGAAAACTGGATTTTAAACTGTGAACTGGGAAAGTTTGAACCCAAATTCAAATATCATGACTTGTGCTCCGGGAGGCACATCTCAAAGGACAGTGAGCTAATCATTTTGCTCCTACTGCATAACAGTTAGACCTGCACTATATGTG